TCGAGACCAAGGGTTAGTTCTATTATTGATTTAACGTGTGGAGAACCGAATCTCAGAACAATTGAATAAACCAAAATCTTATCCTGCTATTGTTATTTATGTGTCTATCATTTACAACAGCCAACTCCAAGACCAGCCTTGGACCCTCCAGGACCACCTACAGAAAGAGCTGAAAAGCCTACAGGTACGTTGATGTTCTCTGTCTCTTATATTGTAGGGACTAATACAAAGAGAAATATCGAAAAATGTCTTTTAGCGTGTAAATTTATGAGACTGAGTGTTGACAATTTTGGTTGCTGAAAAACGTGCACTATCTCACTTGAGCCTTCAGATATTAATATTCATATGTTGTCTCCTTTAGAAGATTTTGAGATTTAACAAAATTCTTAAATAGTGGAAGATCCCAAACTGAGAACTTCATTTCCTATTCTGTTTAGTAGGACAGGACCTGCGAGGAAGATTTACAGGCGCCATTGAGGCATTTACCAGGCGAAATGTTTCAAGCCAAGGCGCTCATGGTGATCGCTCGAGACACAGATCTTCGGATGATATACCCTCTTCTGCCAAGGAAGTGGTTAGTTTTTGACTTTTTGTTGTTATTTCTCTAATTGGCCAATCATGAAAATTTCTCTACTTTATGATCCAAAGTAATTCTCAGGTTAAGTAGGAATCAGAACTTGAGAAAGTTTGTATGTTTTGATTTGTTGGCTTCATTTGCAGCACGAGTCTCGAAATGGAAGTACCTCAAAGAGAGGTGTGATATCAAGCAGCAGACCTGGCTCATCAGCTGAGCCAAGCGAGAACCGTTCAAGCCGACTATTTTCAAGTGGATCACGTCATGCCACAACCCAAAGGGTTCCACAGAGCTATGAATCTGCAGCTGCAAGGCCTGGGCATGAGGATGCCATTAGAAGCTTCGAGCTCCTTACCATTGGCTCTGGGAAAAAGAGGAAATGAAGATAGGGAAAGAGAAGTTTGATGAGATCGTAAGGACAACATTCCATGCTGATGGATCCTCTGAAAATAGGAAAGACGCATTGTTGTTTTAGCCTTGGGAACAAGATGAGAGAGTGTGAGAGAGAAAGAGAGAGTTAAATGTTATCTGCCTCTCCCAGTCTCTCATTCTCTGTTTTTAAAAGAATCTGTTAATAAAGCTTTAAAGTGTAACTTGTCATGACTCATGTCAACTCCAGGTTATGATAACCTATAAAATATCGTCTTCACCAACCTTCAGAATAAATTTATACTGTAAAATCCAAAACCAACGTGCTTTTTAACTAGTGATATTATGGTCGGCTGAAGTTGGATTCTGTTGACAAATCTTGTACATATTGGAAAATGCATTTTGTCTGCATCCGCTGAAACATCGTAGAACATATTATATATAGCTACAAAAGTGGTCGTCGTACATAGAGTTTTTTTTTCTCAACACCGAGAAATAGACAAAGGCTACATCTTTCAAAAGCTACCTTTGGACAGACAAAAGAAGAAGAGAGAAAAGAAGACATAGTGACTAATGTCTTCTGAGTGTGATGAATGGAGTGGAGCTGAGATGAGCTGCGAGAATGGGTGATGAAAATTCATCAACTTGGTGGTTCGGTATCACTCTAGAAATAGGCGTACATTGCAACTTGTTTTCTATAGGTGTTAATGGACTTGCGGGTGCAACACCTTGGAGTTGTGACCTCTTTTCTGGTCTCAAAGTGGCGAGGTAAGCGTGTCCGTTGCAGAAAGGTAGGCTTGTAGCTTGAACTGTTGATTCTTTCTCCTTTGCCACTTGAGCTCCACATGGTTCCTTCAAACATTGAAATGAAAACTGCATTTAGGATCAGAGCATGACAAACAAAAAAATGAAAAGCTTTTCGTGCTTGTTAGAGTTACGCGTTTATTACCCCGAGCTTGAGAAAGGTAAAAGCCTGATTATCAGATCCAAGGTAGATCTCAATAAGCTTCCTCAAGTCAGCTAGTGTTGCATCCTTTGTAACCCTCAGTGTTGTTATGAGCTTTCGAGGGTTATCAGCTGTTGTTTCCCATTTAACATAGATATCTATCTGACCGTTTTTCCTTTCATCGACTGAGATATTGTTTTCCTTTGCTTCTTCCACTGCTAGTGCTTCGGCCTTATTCGTTATAGAAAACAGCTGATTGTCTTTCTTATCAGGTGATGCATTATTGGCTTGATCCTCCTCTTGTCCACTGTGTTGAGACAGCTCTCTCTGATTGCCACAAAGGGTGAAAATGTTTTGAATTCTCAACCTTCTAGACGAGGCTGATTCCTTGTCATCTGCACCGTTGAAGCAGTTCTCTTTACCCAAACCTTCAGAGTTCAAACTAGGCATTGGTGTTGTTATCAAGCAGATGCTTTTATCCTCGACTATAACTTTTTCTTCCTCTTCCTCAACCTCTTCTTCTTCAAAGACAGTGCTCAAGCATACCCGGTCAGGATACATCTGTGTAAGCATATTCTCTGAAGGCTTTGGTTGCAAAATGTTAGTGAAATTGCTGCTAATTGTGTTGCTTGATTGGTGTGAAGCAGCTCCCCATACTTGCTTGACTGGTTCTGGATCACCCATGTCAAGGTCCATTGACTTCACCATACCAGGATCATCATCAGAGTAAAGACTTCTAAGTCTTTTGGCAAACCCACTAGTTTCATCAATACTGCCTCCATCCCTTGAGCGCCGAAACTCAATCTCAATTTCCTCCAACCGTCTCCTCATCATCTCCAGTTCCTCTTGCTGCTGCACAATCCTTTCCTCCATTCTCCTTCTCTCCATCTCAACAAATTCCTCAGCCATTCTTCGGCATTCTTCAAGTTTCTTCTCTAGTTCCGATTTCAAAAGCTGGGTTCTCTCGTTTACTTTTTCTTTTATCTCCTCTTCATTGGTAGCACATGCTTCCCTCTGTGTTAAAAGAGATCTTAAAGCAGCAACTTCCTCTTCCTTCTTCTTCAGCTGCTTTTGTGCCTCATTCCTTTCTTTTTCTTGTTGCTTCTTCTCAGACTGGAGTTTGAGAATAAACTCATCCATGGCAGCTATTCTTGATCCCAAAATAACAGCAGAAGCAGACTCATCACCCCCATACTTATCTTTGTTTGGAGTATGAGACCCACGAACTATGCACTTTGCTTTTGCCCCATACTCTAGAGTGCAGAGAGTCTTGTGCATTTCCTTTGGATCAGGGCTCGCACACAGGATCATTAGAATCTTTGACTTGTCATCTTCAAAAGAGTCCTGCATCCAGAGAATAGAAACAACACTAAATATCTTCAAGAAAACCAAGCAACCACAGAAAACATCTTCCAGAGAATAAAACAATAGAACACGAATTTCACCTGGAGCAGCATTGTCAGCTTGCTGTCTCTAAAGGGTACATGAGAATCTCCATTTGCTATAGATTCCACAACTCGCTTCAGTGCAATATTTCCCTGGTTGATCTTAGCAGTCTGTTGAATAAAGAGAGATATAAGTCAGCTGGTATTCATAACTACAATTAATTTTGGTAGAAACAAATGAACTGAGAGAGGCTAGAGCTGCAAAACATTACTTGCATCTTTGCTTCAAATCCAGTCTGCCCAGCTTGGTCTATATTTTCAGAACCAGCCATGTCAACAAGCATCAATCTTCCACCAACAGTTGGCACATCAAGTATGATCTACAAAAAGAAACAATCACACTTGTAAGTTGCATAAAGCTATATATATAGATATATTCATCAATTAAGATTCAAGAAGATCGTTCTTACAATGCAGTGACTCCGGGAACTTCTTTCATTGCAAAGTGTACTCTTCACAATTCTCCGTTTCTCCACTTTGACAATTTCTTTAGAGATCTTTCCAGCCTCTGTTCCGGAAATAAAGGTCGCGTTTTTCGCCTTTTTCCCCATTACTTCAAGCCTCACCTATAATAAAACAACAAAGTTCAAGAAGTTATATACCAAGGTTGATCAATCAAGAACCTATTAACGTCCTTAATTAGAGAACCTAAGCTACAATTTCACACAAAAAACCAAACTTTACCTTAGTGCTTCCTCCTTTAGGCCAACCAATCCCTAAATTGTTACTACTATTAGTCGAAAGAAGATCATAAATCTCCTCATTATAAACCTCAAGAACAGTAACTTGAACAAAAGTAACACCATCTTGATCAGAATCACCCAAAATATCTCTCAAAGAACGATACACAATCCCGGGCTCTTTGCCACAACCAAACATAGTATGACTCTTTCCAGCACCAGTAGGTCCATACATCATAATCGTACATTTATTCCCAACTTTAACACCTTTAATCCTCTCTTCTATAAACTTCTTGTAGAAATCTTCAAGACCTTCTTGCTCCGAGAAAGAAACACCGTCAAGAGTGAAATCTCTGTACCCAATATCAGCTCTGACTCGTACCGTTTGATTATCTGTGTTAACTTGCAAGATCGAAGAAGTTTTCTCTTTTCGATCTGGGTAATCTCGGATCCGGCCGATTACTTCAACTGGATGCTCCGGTGGTGTTGGATCTTTAGATCCGTCTGGGTTTGGGGTTTTTGAGTGGAAATTGAGACGTTGTTTGGTTTGTGGAGTTCTGATTAGGGTGTATTGGGTTTGATTTGATCTTGAAGATGATGATGGTGTCGGTGCCATTGTTGAAGAAGTTTCAAGATTTAGAAAGCTTCAAGATTTGTGTAGAAAAAGTGAAATTGAAATTCAGAGATTGAGAGAGCGTTAGAGAAAGAGAGAGAAATTGAAAAAGGGGATTAGGGTTTTGTGAGTGATTCACGAGGTTTGAAGTTTGAAACAAAGAAACAAACATAACCGTTGTGTTGTGTTATCTCTAAACGGCTAGTTTTTGTCCACGGGCCAGTCACTGATAATATAAACTATTTATTTACTATGGGCCTGACTTTTGTATTATGTAAATGGGCTTTTGTGTTTAAAGAGGCCCAAAGTTTGTAGTATTAGGGTTTTGTCAAAGTCTCTCTTATAAACTCTGTTCCTTAGTTTTTTTTTTGTTGTTGTTTTTAGGAAGTGAAAGACGACGGCGCAAGCTTCTCCGAAGAGCGAAAATGGTGACTCTCTTCTCTTTTCTGAATTTTTGTTAAACTTCTTTTAGTTTAGGAGGAGATTTGGTGTTTCGTAGAGTTCTATTTTGTTGCCGATATATACTTTTGAAGAACGGAATTGTTGTTTATAGATCTGTTGTGTGATTTTTTTTTTCTTGAAGATGTTTGTTCTTGATTTTGCAATTTGAAGAGTCTAATCTCAAGTTTAATATCCGTTTTGTTGGAGATTTCAATTCACATAGTCGCTGAGAAGAGTTTAGTTCCTCTTTACCAGATACTCAAAAATGGATTTAGTGTTATGCATTTCTTATCAGTTCTGATTTTTAGGAGAATTTGGTAATTTATATGTTCATTTGAATGATATGTACTTGATGGACTTGTAAGATTCACAATATAGTTAGAAAAGTGAGAGAGGAGATTATCAATATTGACTAGTTGAGTAGTTTGATCATATGGTAGCAATCAGTTCTGAATGATCTATTTATGATCGCAATCGATTCTGTATGTTGTTGAAGCCAATCATTTCTTATGATAGTTATAACTCAAAAGTTTGGTTTTTGTGAATATTAGGTGAACATTCCTAAAACCAAGAACACTTACTGCAAGAACAAGGAATGCAAGAAGCATACCTTACACAAGGTGACTCAGTACAAAAAGGGTAAAGACAGTCTTGCTGCCCAAGGAAAGCGTCGTTATGACCGTAAACAATCTGGATATGGAGGTCAGACCAAGCCCGTCTTCCACAAGAAGGTAACACAAAAGCAACAATAATACTCGCATTTTCCTTGTCTTGATCTCTAATTACTGTGTTCTATCTGAGAACAATTTTGGAGTTAAGATTTGACTTTGTGAAATGTCTCAGATCTGTTATTATGTGTACTCATTGTTTGCATTTCTTTGGAACAGGCGAAGACAACTAAGAAGATTGTGTTGAGGCTTCAATGCCAAAGCTGCAAGCATTTCTCTCAACGCCCGATTAAGGTAATTTGCAAGACATTCTTTATCTCTGTTAAAACACTCTTTAGTCTCAGTTCTGTTTCTTACATTTTGTATGTGGCTTTTGCAGAGGTGCAAGCACTTTGAGATTGGTGGAGACAAGAAGGGAAAGGGAACATCTCTCTTTTAAGTTGTTTCATCTATCTACTTTTTTTGTTTTGTTTGGTACCTGTCTTGCTTCAATACTGAGATATACTTTGAATCTACCAGAAATGGTTGTGGTTTCCAATTCAATAGGACTTTGTCTTATGGATGATATCTTTTGATTTTGTGCACCAATCTTTATTCATTAGGTTGCACTTAAATATTCTCTCTATCTTGCGACAAAGTCTAAGCATCACACATAGCACATAGGTCCTGTTTGTTTCTCCATCCAAATGATCCATCTAGATGGAGATGAAAAATGATGTTTGTTTTTGAAAAATGAGTTTTTAAATTTAGGCAAATTTATGAAACTCATTTGGATGAACTTGATTGAACCATTTGGATGGAGATGGTTCATTCAAAAAGAACAAAAGACAGATATACCCTCTTATACAATCATATTTTAAATAATATTATTTTCTATAGATTTCTTATTTAATATTTTTAAAATTACATATTGGAACAAAAAAATACTCTAAAAATCATGAAATCACGGATTATTATTTTACGTCAAAATCGTAAAATCGTGGAATTGCGTTTTTCTGCCAAAAACTGTAAAATTACATTTTTTGCCAAAACCGCAAAATTATTTTTCCCATCAAAACCGTAAAATCATGTTTTCCCGCCAAAACCGCAAAATCATGTTTTCCCGCCAAAACTGCAAAATAATATTTTCCCGTCAAAACTGCAAAATCATATTTTCCCGCCAAAACCGCAAAATCATGTTTTCCCGCCAAAATTGCAAAATCATATTTCCCGCCAAAACTGCAAAATCATATTTTCCGCCAAATCTGCAAAATTACATTTTCAGCCAAAACCGTAAAATCATATTTTCCCGCCAAAACTGCAAAGTTATATTTTCCGCCAATGGCAAATCATATTTCTTATCATATTAATTTTTTCGTTAAAAATCACAAAAAACATATTTTCCCGCCGAAACAGAAAAATTATATCTTTTGCTAAAACCCGCAAAATCATGTTTTCCGGCCAAACTTGTATAATTATTTTGTATATATTTTAATAACTATAAATAATATTAATTTTTATATGTTAAAATAATAATTTATTTAGTTTTTATATGTGATTATTTGTCAAAATGAAAGCATGGGTATTTTAGTCATTTTGGTCTATATGAGATTTAGGATGAATTACAAAATGATCAAACAAAAAAAGATCCATTTGAATGAAATAACAAATATTAAAACAAACATCATTCAAATGCATCATCCAAATGAATCATCTAAATGGACCATTTGAATGCAAATGTAAAATGATGAAACAAACAGGGCCATAGTCATACACAATGATAGATCGCTTTTAACACAAAGGATAAAACGACCCTTTATATATTAACCATGATAGTCCTAGACTCCTAGGTGTTTTAGCCTTTGTGTTAGTTTTAATTGAGAGCTGTACGAGCAAAAAGACAGATTAGTTGATATTCTCTGGTTTCGGATGTGATGGTCCTGGCTGCTGTGGTGATACAGGAGAAGGATCTGGTCGTGACGACGACCCGGTGACGGTAGTGGTGGTGGAGACACCGGTGGACGATGTGGACCATGTGGTGACGGTTAAGGATTCTACTTAGTTTTTTAAAAAAAAAAATTTGATATCACGATCACACTTAGATTATGCTGCTATAATCTGGGTAAATAAATTTTTGTTAACACTTTATTTATTATTTGCGTTCTTGCAACAAACTTATTTGATTTAATCTCTAATTTTCTAATTCGATTCTTGGTAGACAAAATTTTAACGATTCGTTTCATTTTTGGTCATCTAAGGATTAATTTCGTCAGTGGCTCGTACTACACCATGGTAAGCCCATAATGTTATTTCCCATGTATCAATCATTTACCATTCACAAATCACAATTACGTTTTCGGATTTTCTCTTGACAACGGTTTTACATTGTTAACTTTTTTTGTTTAATTTGTCTTTTTCTGTTTTGTAATTGATAATTTACACAAAATATTCGTCCTTCTTCAACATTTTACCAATCAAATCAATTTGAAAATTATAATATCAACGCTATTTGTTGCGACGTTCGAATTGCTCTGTACCTATTGTACTGCAAATTTTACAATAAGACTGTCCCTTTCCTACTAACAAATTCTTACATTTTGGAGTTGTTAAATTTGGTTAATCCAAGGTTAAGTTTTCTCCATTTCTTCTCTGCAATTACGTAATTTCATTAAATTATGTTCATGCAGACAAAATTGAGTGGTTTTGTGTTGTGTGTATATTTCTCAATCATTGACAGTGTTTGCTACGCTAATATCTACGAGAAGTGGCAACGATTCTACTTTCTTGTAAAACACACATCGCGAGTATAAATCGAATTCTTGATTAATATTGTAAGAAAAAAGTGTGAGGGAAAGTAAATCCAAAAAGTCTACTTCCAAATCAATAGAGACCAAACAATGCATGCGTTAATCAACAATTTGGAGAAATATTATATATCATAAAACAAATACAATGTTTGTTTTACGAATGTATAACCAAAAACATAGATCAATGTACGATCCAATAAATACATATATACTACATATTACACGATATTCATAGAAAGAGATTGATGTTTGATCACTTGGAAGTAAAATGGAGATAGAGGAAAACAAAGAGCAATACGACCGGGAACATCAAGATAAGTAGAGGAGATGGAGCAGTCACCGGTCCCATCATCAACGGAAGAATCAGTAACATTAGTGCAACGACAACAATCGCCAAAACCGAACCCATCCCAAATCCATACTCATTCGCCATTATGTTCTTCTTCTTTTTGATACGAATTGTGATCGATTCTATGTTAGTGTCTCTATTTGGAGAAGTTATATTAACAGATTCAGACATCAATGTACGGTTGTGTCGTTTCCCCGAGAATTAGAGACAACGTTTCGTGTACTAATGCATGAAACACAAAAGTGGGAAAAAAAATATAAAAATGCCGAAACCTTTCACGTTTAATAACCACCTCTAACATCAAAACGCTGCGTTTCGGTTTATTTGTTGTTGCCACGTGTTTATAAACATCATACCGAGAGTTAAAAAAAAAAACATCATACCATAAACGCAGCGTTTATCGTCGCAATTTTATGAAAACGCAGCGTTTTAGTTAATAAAAATCGAAATCTCGAATATTTTTAAACCACCAGGTCCATTAACTTCAAAATGTTGCGTTTTTGCATTTGTTGCTATCACGTGTTTAATAAATACACCTAAACGCTGTGTTTTGTGAATCAATCGACAGTTTTCTCACAAAACGCGGCGTTTTGTGTAAGAAAATTCGAGATCTCAAATTTTTTGAGTTTTTTGGTAATCCCGCCCAAATATTTTGAAATTGAAACTCTATGTTTTTGTCGGTATGTGGTAGTGATCCTCCCTTTATCGTTTTGTGCTTTTTCTTCAAAATCAAAAGCTTTTATTTTCCCCCAAACTTTTTTTTTCAAAATCCTAAATTATTTTACCCTAAGATTTTGCCGATGTCAGCTTCAACGAATCGCCGCCGGCTAAAAGATATAAACACCGGCGCCGGAGAAAATCTATCTTCTGGTAAAAAACCATCAAGGTCTGTAACTTTACTTCCGATCTCTACCAAAAATCCAAGTCCCGCTCTACAGAAATCATTATCCAGCAAAGAGAATCCGAATCCGAAGCTTAGTCACCGGTCATTTGGATCGACACAGAAGCCAGTGCTTCGTCCTGTACCACGAATCGATAAGTCCGCCGTGAGAGGTGTTGGTGATGGTAGCGAGGGTCGGGTTACGCGGTCCACGTCTTCTGGTTTGCGAGGTAGGAGTTCTAGTCCATCTGATTTGATTAGGGTTTTCTCGGATTTGAGAAAGAGAAATGAATCTAGGGTTATTGGGGAAAAGGGTGAATCGGATCAGGATAAGAAATCTGGGTACAAGAGTTCTGGATTCAAACAAGTTACGAGTGAAATTAAGGTTGAGCCAAGTAGGGTTTGTGAGAAAACAGATGAAGAAAGTAGTTGTCCAGTGAAATCAAGCAAGTTTGAAGGTTCTAGTGTGGCGAGAAACTCTATTTCTGATCCAAAGGAACATGCTTTGGTTGGTTCTGGAGAGAAATCTGCTGTTGTTTTGAAATCTGATTGTAAAATTGAAAAGAATGGGAAAGGTACTAGTGTAGGTTTAAGAAGGAAGTCTTTGGATAATGTTGGGAAGGCAATGGAGATGTCAAAGGAGATAAGAGGGAATGAAGGAAGCAGCAATAGTACTGCTAAGTATCCGAGCAAGCTGCATGAGAAGCTTGCTTTTCTTGAAGGAAAGGTTAAGAAAATTGCGTCAGATATCAAGAAGACAAAGGACATGCTGGATTTGAACAATCCGGATTCATCGAAGGTTATAATCTCTGATATACAGCAGAAGATCACAGGGATTGAAAAGTCTATGAGTCATGTTATTGATGGTCCAGAGAAAAACAAAACTACTCAAGTGATGAAAGCAAAAACTTCTGTTAAAGGATTAAATAAGGAAGAGTTGGAAGACAGACTCTTTCCTCACCAGAGGTTGCTAAGGAGCAGAACACAGTCCAAAACATCGTCAAATGTCTCAAAAGGCCATGACTCTGTTGAGTCCAACAAGGCAGTAAATGTTGAAGAAAAGCCCGCAGCTCCTGTTGAGGAGAATGCGATAGCTCTAGAGTTCCTTGCCTCACTTGATAAGGAAAAAGTCACATTTATGAGTGATCAGAATGCGCTGGAAAATCTGGAAGTGCAGGAGATGGATACAGAGGAGCCGTCTAAGGAAAATGATGTTTCAAAAGATGTCAATCTGACTTCCAACTTAAATGAAATTCTCAGAGCAAACGAAGCCCTTGAAGAAATTGATGATGAAGAGAATAGAGAGGAGATGGAGCTGGAAGAGATAGATGATGGATGCATGTATCAACTCAATGACATTGGGTCCAGAACTTCTACAGGAGGATGGTTTGTATCAGAGGGCGAGGCAGTTATACTTGCTCATGATGATGGCTCATGCTCCTATTATGATGTCGCTAACTCTGAGGTATTATACTTTAATATTTTCAAACGAATTATCTTCATTATGGAACGCTATTCCTGCTTTAAAATTTTATAGTATCATGTTAGATCTAACTTGAAATATGCTGGTGTGAACCATTGATTTTAAAGTCTCACATTGACCACAAAATACACATCTCTCACAAGTTACCAGAAGACGTTTAGCATTGCTTTTCTTTATTTAGATTGGTTTTGATCTTAAACTTGCAGAAATGCTTAATTACTGAAGATTTACTTTGGGCTATATTTTGTATGCAAAGCTTTTGATTAATGAATGTTATCCTCTATCTATCTGGGTGGCTTGTATGAAGTTATTGGAGTTCGTGCACCCAAAATGCATTGTTATCTCTTACATCAAAGAACTGAAATTCTTTTTTTTCAGGTGAAATCTGTGTACAGTCCTCCAGATGGTATCTCACCAAATACATGGAGAGATTGCTGGGTAGTTCGTGCACCAGGTGCAGATGGCTGCTCAGGCAGATATGTCGTAGCTGCTTCTGCTGGGAATACCTTAGAGTCTGGCTTCTGTTCATGGGATTTCTACACGAAAGACATTAAGGCACTCCACATCGAGGACGGATCTTCAAGAGTTTCAAGAACAGCTCTTGCTCCTCTACCCAATAACACATCACATGGTAGGAACACTCCGGCTTGTGCAGTGGTACCAGAAACTCAACAATGGTGGTACAGACCGTGTGGTCCTCTTATAGCCTCAACTGGTAGTTTCCAAAGTGTAGTAAAGGTGTTTGACATACGAGATGGGGAACAAATCATGAGATGGGGGGTGCAGAATCCTGTGTCAGCTTTAGATTTCTCGAGCCCTTTACAATGGAGGAATCGAGGAAAACTTGTCATAGCAGAATCTGAAGCAATTTCTGTTTGGGATGTCAATTCCCTTCACCCTGAAGCACAGCATACCATTTCCTCTTCAGGGAGAAAAATCTCGGCTTTTCATATCAATAACACAGATGCTGAAGTTGGAGGTGGTGTTCGTCAAAGGTAAAAACTTTATTCTAACTTCCTATCTCCTTGCTTTGCCTCATAAATTGATCATATATGAACATTAGGACACTAAGAAATGTGGATACTTTAGTTTCTCTTTCATTCACTTACTATGTTTTCTTCACCTGAAATGCAGAGTAAGTTCCTTGGATGCTGAAGGCAACGACGGAGTTTTCTGCACTAGTGATTCAATCAACATCTTGGATTTTCGTAACCCATCTGGCATTGGTGCTAAAATCCCCAAACTCGGTGTTAATGCTCAATGTGTATCATCTCGAGGAGATTCAGTGTTTCTAGGATGTACCAATCAGAAATCAACTGCTAAGAAACATATGGCTTCTTCATCACAAGTGCAGCAATTCTCCATAAGGAAACAGCGTCTCGTGAGCACTTACAGTCTACCTGACTCTAACTCTCACCCGCACCACTCTGCAATAACCCAAGTCTGGGGAAATTCAAATTTTGTCATGGCTACTTCTGGTATGGGACTATTCGTGTTTGATACTGCAAAAGAAGAGACCTTGCAACAACAGCCTTTGACAAGCGACTGTGGAAGCGTTCAAACAGTAAGAGAGATTATCGGTCCAAACGATATGTATTGCCCGTCATTTGATTACTCAGGTTGTCGTGTACTCCTCATCTCAAGAGACCGCCCTGCTTTATGGAGATACCTCTTATAGGTAAACCAACAACTTTACTGAATAAAGTTTTTGAATACAAACTTGTGTCAGATGTTTATAGTTGAATTTCGATTTTTTTCAGGTAAATTTTTCAGATGAGTAAAATCAAGCTAAAGATGGTGTTCCCACGAGACCTATTTAGCAAGTGTTAAGCACACCTTGTGCTGCTTCTCTTGTGTTGTGTTCATACTTTTGCTCTCTGTTACCAACTTTGATAGTTTTCTGAATTCTCCTTTCATGCTATTTGCTTATTTGGCTTTACTCTGTACATACTTGTGGTGTTTTGATCAATTTAATAGGTTTTCTTATTACTCATGATTTCTAGGTTATAAAATGGTCTGAAGAACTCAAAAGATATGTAAACGGTCACATATTTCTTGAACATGGTTTGGTAAGATGACATAAAAACAGATTAGACATTGGAAATGGATAGACTTTGTGGATTTTAGGGAGGATATAGTTACCACCAAACGAAAATATTCCTAATTTGGGTCTTTGTTAATGTGGCCTAAAGTGAATCAATCGTTACCCACCTAACCCCTAATCTATTATTTGTTTAATACAAAACATGATTAATTTCTCTTAATCAAATCTGGATCTTTTTAGTCTTCTCAAATCTTCCTCTTTCCTCGTTTGAATCTTGGAGCCATGTCGGATCTTGCGAAAGACGCATGGCGAAAATATCTTATTCAGCTTCAAGCTCACCCTTTACGAACCAAGGTTTGTTGATTTCAGTTTAATCAAGATTTCTCACAATAATCTGATGATCATGTCGTGGTAATGAATTTATTTTCAGGCGATCACTGCAGGGGTTTTAGCTGGGTGCAGTGATGCTATAGCTCAAAAGATCTCTGGAGTTAAACGGATTCAGTTCCGGAGATTGCTTCTCCTTATGGTTCGTTTCTGCTTTTCTTTTTTTTGTTTCTTATATATGACTTTGCAGTTATATACTTAGTCTGAAGAATGTGATTTTGTGATGATCTCTTCTGTGTAGTTATATGGGTTTGCTTATGGAGGACCATTTGGTCACTTTTTCCACAAATTGATGGATACCATTTTCAAAGGGAAGAAGGGTAATTCAACTGTTGCCAAAAAGGTTATGCCTTTTGAACCAAACTATCATTTTCTTGAATGCTTTTTGAATTCTTGGTTATAGAAGAAGTCAAACACTTGTTAATCTCCCAATTTGTTGAATTCATGCATGGAATTGGATTCCAGATAAGTTGTTTAACTTATACTCTGATAGTTTTCTTGTTGCAATCTGGAATTTGAATGTGCTTAGATTAGTAGAGTCATAAAGAAGTTACGCGTATACTAGTTCGAGATATCGTTTTGTTTGATGATCAATATATGTAGAGATCTCTTATTGTGTTTTAAGGATGGATTTTGTGAACTAACAAAAAACTGTGTTGAATTGAAACAGGTTTTGTTGGAACAACTTACATCATCTCCTTGGAACAATTTTCTTTTCATGTCTTACTATGGTTTAGTGGTTGAAGGTAACTATCATTGTCCAGTTTTGAAATGTATATTTTTGTTTTCATGATTTCTGATTTGGAGTTGAGATCTGACATTGTCCTGTAATGTTGTTTTACAGGGAAGCCATGGAAGTTAGTGAAGCAAAAAGTTGGGAAAGATTACCCTACGATCCAGTTAACAGCATGGAAGGTATTAAATAAGAGTCACTACCATTTCATTATGTTACACTTTTGACAATTGGTCCAATTTTTGGATGGTTCTGATTTCTGAAACTTTGTAAATGTAACAGTTCTGGCCTATTGTGGGATGGGTTAATTATCAGTATGTCCCTTTGCAATTCCGCGTCTTGTTCAGTAGCTTCGTCGCCTCTTGCTGGTAAAAGCTTTAACCTTTCTTTTTCATTTTGCTATGCAAAAAAGGTTTTTGGTAACATTTTTTCTTTGAATATATTTAGGAGCATATTTCTGAACCTGAAAGCGCGATCTCCGGCGATCAAAAACGCATAGAGAACTCTATATGGAAGAAACAAGAATGGATCTCTTTTTCTCTCTTTTTAACTTGAAATGTACAAAAGCTTCAAGAATTGAATCTCAAGTAAAAACTGAGAGATGTGATCATTATTGAATAGATCAAATTCGGTCACTGTTGGTGTTGTTTGAGTCCATTATATCAATAATTCAAATTCAATGCATTTTCTAGTTTTCACTCTTAACTCTCGTACTCAACAGTCAATGCAATGGCATGGGATAGGATATTGTCACGTAGAAGCCTGTCTTGAGTTTTGGAGCCTAAAGAAATTTACGCATTTTTGTGTTTTTGTAATAAAACTGATTTCATAAAAACTTCAATATTATAGATGATTAGTGCTATCTTTTTAAGGGATAATCTATGAAAAAGATAGCACTAAAATGCAAAATTTCAAAACTTGGATTCCAAATTTCTAACATAAAACTTGCGATAAAGAAATAATTTTCTTTAAAATTTATAATATTTATTTTGTACTTTGTACTAAATTATCAAGTACTAAACTCCCACCTATAAAAATTAAAGAACTAGTAGGAGTCGGACTATCAAAAACAAACTAACAAACAGGCTGCTTTTACTTCACTTACTCATATTTGAAGTAGTTACTTAACTCTAACCACATTTTAGTAGCTATTTGAGAAAGACACTTAACAATTTTAATCAATTCTCTGTAACATTCTTTTATCTATATTAAGTAGCTACTAGATATTCGTTGTAAACCTAATTAATGTTTCTCTTTACAGAGAACTTTAGATTAAACGTCTACGTACATAGATTAAACCAACGAATTAACTAAAAACCATTAAACGTTGTCCATTGACATAATTAATTTATTATCCTGATCATTCAAAAAAACATAAACAAAAATGATTTCGAGAAATTTATACTTGTGTACCAAAATGAAAACTTAAAGCCCGTATGGAGTTGTAGTCTTGTAGACTAGAAAATGCGTCGATGGAGTCATGGTAAGAGTAAAGATGTGATGGGTAATATATGAAAACGTAAAATCATTTACGAAGTTGAAGTTAAAACAATAGGTCAGTTAGTAGTTGAAGCAATGTGCAATTTTTTGAAAAAGGGTTGGTGTAATTAGTTGGCTACTTGGTCGCCTTTATAAACGGAGCTGGTCTCTTTGGCTTATGCAAAAACAAACATAACTTGATACACATACAAAAATCAAAAGAGATGGGGCGTCTCGTTAATGGAGCTGCTCTCCTGGCTTTGTTATGGTTCAATGTTTTTGTGGCTGCGAGAGAAGGTGTGACCTTTGGAAAAAATGAAGAGGAGAAGACCTTCATAGGCGGCGGAAAGGGCTTTGGAGGCGGTTTTGGTGGAGGATTTGGCAAAGGAGGTGGAATCGCAGGCGGGGTAGGCAAAGGCGGTGGTTTTGGAGGTGGTATTGGTAAAGGTGGAGGCATTTTTGGCCACGGAATAGGCAAAGGCGGTGGTTTTGGAGGTGGCATTGGTAAAGGTGGAGGCTTTGGCGGGGGAATCGGCAAAGGTGGTGGGATTGGAGGCGGCTTTGGAAAAGGTAAAGGATGGGGCTTTGGCGGCGGAATAGGCAAAGGTGGTGGGATTGGAGGCGGCACTGGAAAAGGTAAAGGATGGGCCTTTGGTGGTGGCTGGTTTGGACACCACTGAGCTGAATGAGAAGAAAATTGTAGTTGCATTGCATGGATGTCTGACGTAAACAAGATGGTTAAAGCAACTACTTCTGAATAAATTAAATTAGCTTTGTATTTCCCAGTCCAAGATAAGCTTTGTACTTTTGTGTTTCCACTAGTTTCTATAATTATGAGAATTTGGTATCTAATATCCATCACTATGGATCAAACCACAATCTCCTAAGATAATTTTAACAATGTGGGTGCCTTTGTGCTTCTACAGTATGTGCCTATTTAAGTTTGTTTCATTCTCGTAAATCTCATCCCTCACAAAAGAACCTTAGTAGCTCACATACTGAAACCACATACTGATAACAACTTGACTCTTCGTTCTTCAAGCGCTTACCTCAACTCCGAGTAGAAACAGACCTCGAATTCAACCTCGATGAGTCGTTGCTCCACCTAAGAACTCAAGCACCCCTCGATAAGTCCTGTACCAACACATGACGCAAAATGATTATGCCCTTTCTCAAAGCTACACTCTCACTATTTTCTACACCTTCCTCTCAATGCTACCACTAACTGAACCAACTACCTCTACTTTCTACTCAAACCATACATTCAGCGGTTGACTCTCACCTCCATCGAGTTCTGCTCACCATCTGCTTTCTTAATCAAGTACCATGAAGCATTATTCCCTGCTTAAGTTATATCCATCAGGGCCAAAACCAAGATAACACAATCAAAAACAACCAATCCGGCAAGAATACTAGGACGACAAACATAATACGAAAACAGCAAAGCCTGTAGTTATAATAACTCTGCCAAAACTCAAAAGTACACTCAACCGAAAAATAACTTAATAGAAGTGACTTATTGTAATAGATAGCACATGCTTATAAAGAGATTCAAGCAGTCCAACCCGTTATGAAGTCGAGGAACCTTTGATTTGAGCTAAATTCTTCTTGAAAAGGATCCAAAAACCAGGGTGGTGATAATCCCCTTTAATAGTCACTACTGGCCTTGTCGACCCTGACCATCATTGTACCCACCACCATAACCTTGTGAAGGGTCAGATCGCCAAGATCCATCACCATAACCCCCTCCCACGTAGCCACCACTACCAGGGTTGTTTGAACCACCACCACTAGGACGCCCTCCAACCACACCATATGCAGCTTGATTTCCATAAGCAGAATCACTTCCACTGTACCCTCCATATCCGTAGCCTTGGTTACTATAGCCAGATGGTGACTGCGCAGGAGGAGCTGCACCAGGAACCCCATATCCACTATGAGCAGCACCACTCCCATAGCCTGGGTTCCCATAACCACTAGGAGCTGGAGTGTCCCACGAGTTTCTCGGGGCAACTCCAGAACTACTTCCATAGCCGCCACCTGGAATGTTCGTTGCTCCATATGCAGCAGTAGCACCAGCGCCATAACCTCCAGCAGAACCAGTGTAACCTCCATAGCCACCGTACCCGGCACCATTACTACCATTTCCATACCCACCGCCATAACCAGAAGAACCATAAGATGGTAAACCATTTCCAACATTTTGATGCTGCATAAACCTATTGGAATCCACACGTCCATCATAATTACTTTCATGACTACCATAACCCTGGTAACCACCAGAGCCACCACCACCCATTGATCGTCCACCTCCAGGATTGGCATCTTTAGGAAGAGCACGCTTAACTTCAACTTGCTTACCACTCAAATCATGGAAAGTCTTGTGCAACACACGGTCTACCGCATCTTCAGAGTCGAAGGAAACAAATCCAAACCCACGAGGACGGTTAGTAGCCTGGTCATACATGATTGCAACATCAGTCACAGGACCATAAACTTCAAAATACTGACGAAACTCTTCATCTGTCAAAGTAGGTGGCAAGCCTCCAACAAAGATCTTCTTGGTTTTATTGAAAGAGTCACCTCCAGAACTTCTAGATGTATTAAGGTTCCCAGTTCTTCCAGAGACTTGCTGCTCCTCTCTTGACATGGCTCTCTTCACATCCACCTAAACGTCAACCAAAATCAATAAAGCTCAGGATAAACCTCAAAGAATCATACTTTACCCAAAATCAAGAACGTAGCGCAACAGCAAATATATAAATCTGTTTTTACTTATCCTTCTAGACCCTAAAATACCTCATCTACAAGCTAAAACCAATCCGAGAATCCAAGAAACACTAAGGAGAATTTGCAAACCAAACAAAATTCAATTTTTACTCTCGTTCTCAATCAACACATCTAAACACAAAAGGGCAAAACTTTAAAACAAAAACCAACACAGTTAGAGAAATGGAGCTAAAAGAGAACAATAATAACCTCTCTAGTATCAATGTTGTGTTTGTCTTGAAGAACCCTATCGAGCACAGAAGGATCCGAGAAGATAACAAACCCAAAACCCCTAGGTCTACCTGTGAGCTTGTCTCTCATCACAATAGCTTGCGAAACCTCTCCATAGTTACTGAAATGTTCTCTTAGCTTATCTTCATCAGTTTCCCATGAAACACCACCGACAAAAAGCTTTCCTTGATCCGAATCCATGAATTATACACCACTCTCTTACTAACCCAGAATCACAAATTTACAAAACCGTGAAAACCCACTGCAGAAACTTGAAGAAACTACGAAAAGGCTTTAGCTTTTCGAAGAAGAGAGCAATGGCTGTAGCCGATTTGAGAGGAAGAAGACAGCGAACGAATATTTCTATTGGTTTGGTATTGATATTCGCGAAGGTACGAATCTGTCAGCAGATAAATAAATCAACGGTCCTGATCTTTTTCAATATTTTAACGGTTCAGATCTGTTTCCCGTTTTCTTGTAATAGAGATGCTTACTTATGGGCTTAGTCTAGCCCAATTGAAAGTATAAATAATGGGCCATAAAGACCGACGATGCTTTCACTCGTGTGTTTCTGTTCCACACGTGCCAGAAAATCTCACAAGAACGACAAAAAAATCTTTCGTGCTGTGACAATCTCTCTGCCAGATATGCACTTTGTTGTCGAAAATTCTCAAGTCCACATTACAGCTTTATTTAGTACTTGTAATAATTAACCTCATATGTTTAATTAATCTCTTAATTACCTCGTATATCTAGTTTTAAAAAAATAAAAAAATAGCCTGTAAACGACAATTAACGTGCACGATCTCTACTAAAAAACCTTAATTAAGTTTTTTGAGACTTTTACGAAAAAATTAAAAGAGATTTTGGTCAATGTCAGCTTTCACTGAAAATACTTTGGAATAGTAATAATGATTAATGATTATATGATACCAATTAATTAAATTCCATAATAAAATGTTGTCGTTAAATGTAAAAAGCGGCAAAAATGTGGGGCTAATTTATAAAGTTTGGTTATATTTTTAAAAAATCAAAATATAAAAACAGTTCAGCCTTCAACAACAACGAAAAAGCCGTTTTCTATTACTTTTGTTTATTTCTCTTTCTCTGTGTATTTCTTCGTCTCCTTCGATCTCACTGTCTTTCTTCTGGAACAGCTCGATCTTTAATTTAGGGTTTTTTTTATAGTTACATTTTCTTGTTCTGTCTGAATCTCTTTTGTTGTTTAGGTTTTATTTGATTTTTTTACTAATCTTGAGAAATATGGAAGAATGAGAAGAAGAAGAAGGTGGTGATTTGTTTTGATTTTTTTTCTTCTAATGGAGCAGCTTGTTAACTTCATTATTCGACCTCCAAGGTGAAGATTTTTTCTCAGGAGTTGAATAAACTTACTTATTATGGAATTTAGGTTTTGAGTTTTATGTTTCTATTTTGGCTTTTTTATCTCTTTACTAGGTTGTAGAATTGGGTTTTGAATTTTCGTTTTTGTTCTTGAGTTGATAATATTGGTGATTACTGGATTTTAAAATAGATGAAGTAATATACTAGGATTTCACTTGATTTAGGGTTGCATTTCCTCAAGAAAACCCCTGTTCCTCTTTTCAAATCCATTTTTGTTAATTAGTTTGTTCCATCTACATTTTAATATAACTGGTGTGTGAATGCAGAGCTGAATACAATCCGGAACATGATCTCTTGGAACAGGAGTTCTTGCTTAAAGGAAGATGGTATCAGAGGAAAGATTTAGAGGTAAAGCTCTTTTTTTCTGTTGTTGTGAACTCCTAAGTAGAGAATCCCAGCAAAACATGCTGTGAATCATTGTCACTGTGTCTTCATCAGTTGTTCACTGTTGGTCAGAGTATTTTCCTTATTTTCCAGCCTCTGGTTTGGACTGCCTTAAAGATCTCAAGGTTTAGTTGTCTTTTCTTCGCCTAAGGTTATAGGAGAACTTCTATTGTGACAGGTTAAAAACATCAGAGGAGATATCCTTCAGTGTAGTCATTACATGCCAGTTGAGCGTCCTGAAGATAGGCCTCTACCTTGTGTAATATACTGCCATGGAAACAGGTAACTGTAACTTTTTTTTTTATAGGAATGTGATTTGAGCTGTATTGGTGAAATAAGTTAATAAACTCATCTTTTATCGGATGCGATAGCTGGTAGGATACTATGATAACCATGCTTTGAAATGAAACAACTGATATGGTTACCAGCAATACAAAAGTTTTCCAATTGTCACAATTGCTTAATGTTTCTTTTAGTATACTATTCACTAATGGCTTCATTCTTATTCAGTGGATGTAGAGCTGATGCCAGTGAAGCTGCGATCGTATTACTTCCTTCAAACATCACGATTTTCACCCTTGACTTTTCGGGATCTGGTCTCTCTGGCGGGGAGTATGTCACATTGGGTTGGAACGAAGTATGTCCTTCTTTGATCTTTTCCCAATATATTCCTCTTCCCCTCTTTAAATGTTATGGCCTAAGCTTATCGTTGTTTCGAGTAAACAAGTTGACGATAATGTTTTCCTTCCCACAATCGCTGGGTTCATTAGTCATAGTCATAATCCTGAATTGTGAGAGCAATCACTTCTTTTATCACTGTTAAACGTGACGTTGATGCTTGCAGAAAGATGATCTGAAAGCTGTGGTTGAGTATTTGCGCACGGATGGAAATGTCTCCCTGATTGGCTTATGGGGTCGTTCAATGGGTGCTGTCACAAGGTTCCTTTAAGTCTTTCATTTGTTGAATTACTTAATAAGAGCCTTTTTATTACCAGTCTTGCATGTAGTTTCAACTAACTGTATGGAACTGTCTACTATAGAAGTGGATCGTGTAAGCAACCGAGGATTTACTTATCTTGTGAACCCATTTTTCTTTACTAGTAAAGAGGGAATAGTTGTTGAGAAACAATTGAAATATTCTTTGGGCGGGTTTGTAGTCTATTTAGCTAAGAAAACATGAATCTTTCCAGTGTCTAAATGATTGGCAATAACCAATAGCTATATGACTATGAAATCATTTTGTTGCTACACTTATTTTCCAGTTTGATGTATGGAGCTGAGGATCCCTCTATTGCAGCGATGGTTCTAGACAGCCCGTTCTCTGATTTGGTTGATTTGATGATGGAACTTGTAGATACATATAAGTTCCGGTTACCAAAGTTTACTGTAAGTAAAAGTAATTTTGTAGTGTCTGTTTCTCGTGGGATTTGTTCTGCGTATGACAAGATTTCCACATTGTCTTTGTTATACGACCTTAAGCTGTTTCAATATGTTTATTCAGATAAAATTTGCAATACAATATATGCGGAGAGCCGTTCAGAAGAAAGCCAATTTTAACATAACGGATCTCAACACCATTAAGGTCATTTTCTATGTTAGTTTATACTTTTTGTCTAGTTTATTACTTAGATAATTAACTAATCTATTCACTAGCATGCAACATCATCATTGTTTTTGGTGATCATTTATGTATTTTCTTGATGAGTAAATGTATCAAATTCAATATGTTATATATGTTTTGTTTCTCGATTTTTTCAAATTTTTATCGTTCATGCTGCAGGTAGCGAAATCTTGTTTTGTTCCTGTTTTATTTGGACATGCCATAGACGATGACTTTATTCAGCCTCATCACTCAGAGCGTATATATGAAGCATACATAGTAAGTTTTCCATTCTACGGAGACGTTCTTCATATTATACTTTTCTTCCTCTAGCTTCTCATAAGTTCTTGATAAACCCTTGACCATGTAGCCTTTAAACCTCTGGCTTTTGATTATGCCAGGGAGACAAAAATATCATCAAATTCGAGGGAGACCACAATTCACCACGGCCACCATTCTACTTTGATTCAATAAACATCTTTTTCCATAACGTTCTTCAACCTCCAGAGGTGGTCAAGCCAACATTTTTTGACCCGGTGGATGATTACTTTTCCAAGGTAATGAATCTTGCAGCGATGCATTTTTAGTTTTTGGGGATGTTCTTGTCTCTTTAGCGAGAACGGTCAATGATGTTAACTGTTTTATGTTCAGGGCAGTTGGAACACCATGCAAGAACTAAGTTCTCCACAATCCTCAGCACAGAAAAGTAAGTCATCCAGGTTTTTCTCTATGTTTACTCCAGGTGTTATTGTATCCTTAGGCTTCTCATGCCAAAAACGGTTCAAAGATTGTTCATCTTTTCTAATTGATTTCAGGTTTAGCTGCAGGAAGCACCTCCGATGCTATAAATGAAGTCCGCTTAAAAAGACCTATGAGTCGCACAGAGGTTGGTAGTTTGTGACTACGTTCTGCAAGTTTATAATGCTAGTTTCCAAAACAGTTTTCTCACTACATTTGTCAAGTATACTTTTCCGTTGTGCTGATTCCCTAGAAACATAACGGTTTCTTGGTTACTTCTCTCAGGTTCCTTCCAATGACCCATCTAATCAATCATCATCAGAATCCAAGGTATAAGATCTACTAAAAGTTTTGTTTGTGGAAGAGAAACAGAAATGAAGAGATGAGCAGAATATTCATGATGTTTCTTGATATGATTTATTTCAGGAAAAAGAGAATAATGAAGTCTCCAGTAGTTCATCTTCTGATATGATTAGCTTTGATTTGTCGAATGGAGATCCATATCCTCCTCATCTTGCGGTAGCTGTAGATGATGATCAATTTGTGGAGTTTCACGTAGATGAGCTGGCAGATTTTCCATCTAATGCAGAGGAAGAAGAGAGGGTGAGAGTAAAAAAAGTGGATTTTGCACTTTGAATCCCCCTTATGACTAAGCTTTATAAATTCGTTTATTCACATTTCTTAATGGTCTCAGATGTTGATGGAAGCGGTGATGAAATCGCTGAAGGACATGGAGGTCGAAACTCATCAGAACAAAGAACCCTCTAACACCAATACAGAGAACACTGAAGGTAATGCTGCTTCTTCTACTACAGAACAAGAATTGGCACATTCTGAGACAGCTCCTGCTTCTGGTCCAACACCATGTAACCATGATGCGCGATCATCTTCTGAAGCCAGTGTTCCATTTAAAACATCAGATTCTCTGCCAGGACCTGTAAATGGTTTTGTTCCTGGTGCTTCGCCCAAAACGAGTCAGAGCAAAAACGACGTCATTGATTTATCAGCTCGTACAAGGGCAACAGTGACTGTGGTTGGACGTAGTAGCACATCAGGAAACGTTTTAGATGGGTTATTACGCCGATGGGATCTTAACTTCTTCAAAGGTAGATAATTCCATTAAGTTATGTGTTTTGGTTTGTGCAAAATAGAAAGGAAAGTTAAAATGTTTTAAAGGTTTTTCATGACAAGTTATC